TGACGGCAAACCCACAGAGCCTCTCCCCCACCCCCCCGGCTCCGTGGACCCCGCAAGCAGGTCCCACAGGCCCCAGCACAGCTGGCCCGCTCGGGCTGGAGCCCTGGCCGGAGCTTTCCATGCTGATGAGCTCTGTAAGGAGCCCACACGCTCCTGTTCTTCTCTGGAACGGGGCGCTGCAGCAGATGCTAGGGGTAATAAGGTTTTCAGTGACTCATTTGCCTCAGAACTTTCATAATCTTTGCCAGCAGCCAAAGCTTGTGGTTTCACAGGGAAACCAATGATGCCCATGTGCGTGTGGGCAGAGGCAGCAGCTGGGGCAACCCAGGCCCTTGGGTCTCCATGATTCTGGATAAAACCATTCACCAAATCCATTATGTGGCTAGAGGTGCGACTCTTGTGAGGCAGTGGTGGGGCTGGACCTGTGCCTGGACGGGAGACCCCCCTCTTCCTGTGTTGCCTGTGAGGACCTGAGGGCTGGAACGCACACCCCACACACATACAACTACCACCACCTCTCACGTGCAAGCGGCAGAACTGGGGGTGGGCAGGCCTGCGGACTGACCCGCGCCCCATGCTGTCATTTTGGACCAGAACATAGAGCTCCTGGCAGCAGCTTAGTGATCGACCACACTGTCTCCATGCCCCCATCCAACTACACCACTCTAACACGAACCACAGACCACTCTACCTCTTATCAACCTTCCCACAGCTTCCCCGACTCCAGGCCCTGAGGGGAGGCCAGCTATAAGAAGTCCCACTGCTGGTTATGACCATTTCTGTGGAGTCACGTGGGCCCAGCTCCAGTTTCCACAGATACTTAAAAAAAAAAAAAAAAAGGCTGCCCCATGGCTTCTTTGAGTACCCGAAAGCAAGGGGGAGCTAGTTAAAAATACCTAAATAGGGGCGCCTGGGTGGCTCAGTTGGTTAAGCGACTGCTTTCGGCTCGGGTCATGATCCTGGAGTCCCGGGATCGAGCCCCGCATCGGGCTCCCTGCTCGGCGGGGAGTCTGCTTCTCCCTCTGACCCTCTCGTGTTCTCTCTCTCATTCTCTCTCTCTCTCAAATAAATAAATAAAAAAATCTTTAAAAAAAAAAATACCTAAATAAAAACCCCCAGATCCTGAGGTGCTGGGACAACTGAGGTTCTAGAAATGTGAGAAGATTGATTTGGGTTTAACAGTGAGGTGTGGTTGCAGCCCCACGAAGGTACTTCGGGAAGTGCTGAGGGCTGTGATAGCAGCCCACGGAGCCCATGTGGAGAAGGGGCAAGACACGGCCGGGGCGCCGCGCGGAAGTGAGGGCCTCAAGGAAGGCGAGTGGGAAGGCGAGATACCAGAACTGCCACCCCGGGTCTGACTCACGATCTCTTCAGCCCAGGCTTCTCGAGGTGGAAAAAATATTTTACTCAAGTTTGAATTCAAATATTTGCTCCGTACGGATGTGTGTCAGCGAGTTCCCTGTGGTGTCACTCCACCTCCGGCCGCTCGGCTCTGGCAGTCCCTCACGGGACGCTTACAGCTCACAGCAAATTCTAGAGCCAAACCCAGCTTCCCACATCACAGCCCTTCTGCACCAGGCTGTTCTGGGACACGCGTAAGTCAAGCCTGGATTTGTGAGCAGAGATGGGCTCTCACGGTTGAAAAATGAAACCATGCGTTATTTAAGTTCCTTCTCACTTAATGTATCAGACTAATATGCTGAGGTATTTTCTGTATCACATGGGACCATTTGGTGGAAGCTTGCATGGAGTAAGCATTTAATGTTTACTGAATGAATGTATAATAAAGCTGAATTGCTGAACACTTAAGTAAACATGGCTTATTAGAGGGAAGGCAGCGTGGTGTCAGTATGAAGAAAGCACGCCTCACTAATCTCCTTGAGTTCTTTGAGCAGATAAATAAGCATATGGATAAGAGGGAACCACAGAACCCGATTTAATTTGACTTTCAAAAACCTGTGAGAAAATCCCACTCTAAAGATGGTTTTTAAAAAATTGAGTCACTAAGGATTGTTTTGTCATGAATATGGAATTGGCTTAAAGACCATAAACAAAGCTAAAGATAAATGAATACATTCCCAGATGGAAAACTATAAACATTGGGGTTTCCTAGAGATCTCATCTTTGATGGGTCTTTTTACATATTTATGAATGATCTAGAAGAGGAAGTGTGGATTGAATCTCCAGGTTCAGGTAGCAGAGAATGGTTCTTCTGGGGAGGATGTTAAGTTGATGGAGATTCAGTTTGGTTTGAACAAGAATATACTGGGTACTGAATAGTCATCGTGTGTTTGCGCCATGAGGTATTCAAAAGACGTAGACCCTGAAGGAGCTAATAATCAAGTTAGCATGAAAGCCACACCTTTGTTTAACTGTAAATAGCAGAAGGCACCATGGGGTCAGTGATGATGATGATGATGTCTCTGTACGTGACAAATGCCATGAGGGTTCAGACAAGTGGAAAGGTAAATGTGGACTGAAGTAGGGAAGGCTTCTTGGAGGAGGCAGCACTTGAGGAACAGCTAGGGTTGAATGGCTGTAGAAGAAGTGGAGGGTCTTGCCGTCGACAGCAGCTAATGCACATGGAGTGCTTGTCTCGCCCATAGAAGGTGGGGCTTGTCTGCGTGATCTCATTTAGCCTCACAGCAGCCCAGTGAGGTCGATCAGATGCTCCTTTTCCAAAGGAGGAATGAGAGGCTTCAAGAAGGTAAATGATCTACTCCAGTTCACATGGCTAGTAAACGTGAGACCCGCTGTTAGCTGCCTCCAGTTCAGCGAGCGTGGCAGCATGAGCAAAGGCACAGGGGCAGGACTCTCTAGAGCAGGTTAGAGAGAGAACGGAGGGGTCGGTCCAGCTGGAGCGACAGCCTGTCTTGGGGGAGGTTGGAGCATATGTAATGATCTAAATGACAAAGGCCCTTCAGTCTCATCTGGGGAGCTTGAACTTTATCCCCAGGGCACTGTGCGGAGCGGAAGAAGGAAAAGGGAACCATATTCTGGGGATGGTAGTCTGGGAAGTAGCAACAAGTTAATCTGGGGGATGGAAAAAGTTAGGACAGACAACTGGCTTGGAGGAGAAATTGGCTGAAGCTGAGGCAGCTTTATTTTGTGCTCCCTGCTTAAACCTGCGTGCTGAGTGTATGCCCACCCCCCAGCACATCACAGCCCTCTTCCAGGTCAGCTCTCGGGGTCTCGTGCCCTGGTGACATCCCGATGTCACACGGCTGCCACGTCCCATGTCACTGCTAGGGGGCGGGGAGGGCTTAGGTGGCTTGAGGGGTGCCTTCCCTGCCTGCTGGGACGCAGCTTGAGGGTCCGGGCCCTGTGATGCACTGGCTTCCCCCATTTCTTTAATTGACCTTCCTTACGGAGTCTGCCAGAGCTGCATGCTACATCAGACTCTGTCCCTAAGATCCCAGCAGCGCATGAGAACTTCAGGGGACTCTGAACAGCAGAGAAGCAACATCACGTTTGGGGAGGAACATCTAGAGGCAGCAGAGAAGTTAAGCTTCTGCAATTCCTTCAGCCACCCTGAGGTGACAACATTAACAGGCCAGGCGGTCACCTCCTTCTAGTGGCCACGTGGTGTCTGGCATTGGGCCTGGAACTCTGGGGACAGAAGATGAGCTCGTTTGGGGTGGGCAACCAATTACTCAGTGAAACCTTAACGGTCAGAAATGTCACCAATTAATAGTGGGGGCAGTAAGGACTTGAGCTGGGAGGTGGCACAGGAAACCCTGCTCTTCCTCCGGTTAGTCATGTGATCAGGGTTGTCACTTAACCCCTGAGTCTTAGTTTCCCTGTCTGGAAAATAGAGATGATAATTGTACCAATCTCCTAAGTTCTCATGAAATTTAATGAGAAAAAAAACACGCTGGGTGGCTCAACCAGCACAGAACGCAGGGGAACTATGCTAATATCTTTAACACTCAGCCCCAGAGATCTATCTAATAAGCCTTCCCCTGGTCCCATCCCAGATGGCACAGTGATTCCCAGTACAGCACAAGTACCAGACCATGTTGTACTGGTCCCTTCGCCCGTCTGCCACTGTCACTAGACTGCAAGCTCTTTCAGGGCAAGCCCGCATCTTCTACCTCTTTAAAATCAGCACCTAGACAGTGCCTGGCATATGGTGGGTGTGCAAAAGTTTGTGAAATAACCAAGAAAGTGACTATATTACCTACTATTCCCATAAGAATGGAAGTTGAGTTTAATTTGCCCCCCTTGCCCCCAAAAATCGTGATTCTCTGAATTCTCACAAGCAAATGTTTATTAATTCACTTTAGAATCTTTCCAAGAATCAACATAAAGGTTATTGGTCTTCTCTGCTAGAATTCCAATCCTCCCCATCTCTGTAAAATAGGGACAACACTGACGTCTGCCTCTATCAGTCACCTTTTTCATTCTTTGGGAGTTCTTGCCAAAGATAGAAAGTAGGATATGTACTTTCTTAAAAAGATGGAATGTGCACGTTCTTTAGTGGATTGGCTTGAACTGACATTGGGGAGCCCTCTTACAGGCTTCTCCTGCTACAAGAAGACGAATTTCCCTTGTAATGTTGCTTGTCTTCCCTTTCCAGCCTTAAGACTTTTATATGCTCTGGGAAAGATGTAAGCACAAGAGGCTTGAAATTTTGCCTTCCCTCTGATATTTATTAGCCTTCCTCTGTCTTCCTCAGTCACTTGACCCACACCCTCTGGATTCCTCTAGCTTTCAGCACAAGCTTTAAAAAAAACCCTTCTGGTTTTAGCATTTTTATTAGCCAGAACTTCTCTTGAGCTTTAGCTTTCTTGAAGTTTTTCTTAAATGCAAATGCCATTCTTTTCTACCAGTCCTGCATGTCTCTTTTGAAAACCTGAATTCACTGGAGAGCTGTTTTGAGTGGAACTGATCTAAACCTGATAAGAGACCCAATCATGTCCCTATCAGACGTGATGTGCGGTCTTTGAATCTTAGAAATGATTCCCCATTCATCCATATGCAGAGAGAAAACGACATACCATTCTGTTGGTAAAGTTGTGGAAGTTCTCAACCAACACCTGCTCGATCATGTCTGGCTCAGAGATAACAATAAACATCCGGCGACCAAGATAGTACCTGGGGGAATAAAAAAATTACTTTAAAATGTGTTGTATTTATCTACCCATTTCTCCTTTCCCAAAAGAATTCACTGTGCTTAGAATGAAGGATAAAAGACAAATAGGAAGTAAAGATGTGGAGAAGATGTAGAAATGTGTGTGCTAATCGTGAGGAATGGTACAGCTGTCATGATCTAGCATCAAGTTTCATTCCACAAACATTTCTGGAATCCTACCTTGCACCAGGCCTTGGAAATTCTAGGATAAATAAGACAGAGTCCCTGCCCCCAAGGAGCTCATGGCCTGATAGAAAAGATAGATCTGTAAATGTAAACACAATATTAAGGAATTCATAAGATCCAGTAGTAAGTAAAAGTGGCAGCGGTCAGCATTGTCCATATTGTCCAAAAATGGGGAGACAGGCATTCTAGCAAAAGGCAGCCAAAACTTTTATATATTGATCCTGGGAGAAAGTCTAAAGTGAATTAATAGATGCTGTGCAAATTTAGCAAAAATCAAATCTGCTGGTAAAGGGCTGAACATCTGGTTGCCACACCTGTGCATGAAGAAGTTCAATAGATACTTCTGACATTAATGAAGATATGGAGGAAAGGAGCAGCCGGTCAGCTGGTGGTAGTGAACTCTGAGTGGAGGCAGCACTTGAGTACATGTCTGGTTACATTTATCAAGGTATTGGGGGCACAAAAGCAAGTAACACCCAGTCACAGTTTTCAAGGGTCACAGAGTCTGATGGGAGTGACAGTTAGGTAATCAGCACCCAGTGTGGCATCTGACAAGCAGGGGTAACATTGGAGGCACACCCAACTTCCCAGAGGTGGCGCTTCTCAAACTGAGTTCCAAAAGATAAGCAGGAGTTAGTTCAGGAAAGTGGGTGGCAAAGGGGGTGAGGCTATACTAGGCAGAGGAATCTGTTTGTGCAACTGTCCGGAGACAAGTCTGCTTAGGGGAACTAGGAGTGCTTGGCTACAGGAAGCAAACCCGAGTGGTGATGATGAATGGGTCCACTGCATAATGGCATGTCTTTAGTCTATGAAATTTTACTTTCAGGATGTAATGTGATCACTGTCATATCCAGCTCAGAGCAGTAAGGAATAGATTTTAAAGGGTAAAGTCACAAGATATGAAAATAGCAAAGTTTACTCTTAATTCTTAGTTACAAAGAACTTTTCAAAACCTAAAAATGGCTTTAATTTTTTTTAACTTTTTTCTGACTAGGGGAAAAATGAAAAAAAAAAATATGGCTGGCACATATTAGACCCTCAGAAAATATTCACCTGAGTGATCGTATTTTCCAAAATTGTGGGGGAAATTTTTGGGAAACAGGAATTCAGCAGATGTGGTAGAAGGAAAGAAATGATACTAAGTAGTTTTTATTGTTTTTAATCAAGAAGACCACAAATGACTCAATATGGCAATAAACCAATCCTTTCATAAAATTTATGGGGTGTGTCATGGAACTCTTGAGAATCTAGTGAAAGCTGCAGACATTCTCCTAAGAAACATGGACATTCACAGCATTTTATATACAACTTGAGGGGTTCTTGAACCCTGAAACCCACTCTAGAGCAAAGCTTCTCAAATATAAAATGTGCTTAAAAGCCACCTGGGTTTGAAGAAGTAACTGCTGAAAATTTCTCCCATTTGACAAAAAACATAAACTTACAGATTCAAGAAGCTGAGTGAATCCCCTATAGGAGGCACCCAAAGAAATCCACACCAAGACATATCATAATTAAACTTCTGAAAACCAAGAACAGAAAAAAATCTTGAAAGCATACAGGAAGAAGGGAGGGATTATTTATAGGGAACACTGATTCAAAGGACAGCAGATTTCTTATCAAAAACCATGGAGGCCAGGAGAAAGTGGCATATTTCTCAAATGCTGAAAGAAGAGGACTTAAATCACAAGTTCTATGCCGGGAGAAAATATATTTCAGGAAAGAAGAAGAAATAACAGTTTTGTCAGATGAAGGAATACTAAGAGAATTTGTCACCAGCAGATCTACCCTTAAAGAATGGCCAAAGGAAGTTCTCCAAACAGAAGGGAAATAATAACAGAAGAAAACTTAGAACTTCAAAAAGGAAAGAATACTATGGAATGCCTAAAAAGTAATAGACTAGTCTTCTCGTGAGTTTCTCAAATCATACTTGATGCTTGAAGCAAAAATGATTACACCATCTGATGTGGGGTTCAGTATACTTAGAGATATACTTAGCGATAATGCTTAAGATAATTATAGTTAAGAAGTAAGGAGGATAAAGGGATGAAAATGGAAGTAAAGTTTCTTCACATCACTCCAAGGGGTAAAGCATCTATACCAGTAGACTGAAAAATTACATATGTATATTTATGTAACCACAAAGAACACTATACAAAGTGATATACAAAAAAATTTTAAATGTCATAAAGGAATTCTAAAAAATGTTCAAGTAACCCAAAAGAAGGAAAGACAAGTGAAACAAGAAATGGAAGAAAACAAGTACATTACACTATTATAAATATCATAATTAGATAACAGTTTGGAATTTGTGGCTGTAGCTGACATAGCATTGGGACAGAAACTTATAGCATTAAGGGCTATCTTAGAAAAAAAGGAGAATCTTAAATGAATAAGTTCCTGCTTCAAGCAACTAGAAAAGGAAGAGCAAAAAACCTAAATCAAATGGAAGGAAGGAAATAATAAAAAAGCAGAAATGAATAAAATTGAAAACAGAAAAACAAGAAAATTAATGAAACAAAAAAATTGGCTCTTGGGAAAAAATCAATAAAATTAATAAACATCTAGCAAGATTGACAAAGATAAAGAATCAAGACACAAATCTTGGAGTCAAGACAAGTCAAGTCAAGACACCAATATCAGGAGTGACATGGGATATCACTATAGATTCTACAGCCATTAAAATAATAAGGGACTACTATAACAACTTTACACTAATAAATTTGCCAACTTAGAAGAAATGAACCACTTCCTTGAGAACCACAAACTACTAAAACTCACCCAAGATGAAATAAACAATGTGAATAATCCCACAACCATAAAAGAAATTGGATCCATAATTTTAAATTTCATGAAAAAGACATGTCTCAACTCAGATGGTTTCAGTGGAGCACTCTACCAAATATTTAAAGAATACTTAATAATTTTACACTCTTCCAGAAAGTAAAATAGGAACAATTCCCAACTCAATTTATGAAGCCAGTATTACACTGATACCAAAACCAGAAAAAGATAGTACAAAAAAAGAAAACTAGATCAGTATTTCTCATGAACTTGGATACAAAAATCTTCAACAAAGTATCAGTGAGTCAAAACCTGCAATCTTTAGAAAGAATTCTATACCACAACCAAGTGGTATTTATTCTAGGTATAAATGACTGGTGCAATATTTTTTTAAAAAATTTATTTATTCGAGAGAGAGCAAGCACGAGTGGGGGGAGTGACAGAGAGAGAGGAGGAGAATCTCGAGCAGATTCCCCACTGAGTGTGGAGCCTGACACCAGGCTCCATCTCATGACCCTGAGATTATGACCTGAACCAAAATCAAGAGTCGCATGCTCAACTGACTGAGCCACCCAGGTGCCCCAGGCTGGTTCAATATTTTCTAAAAAATCAATATGATCCACATATAAGTTGCATTAAAAAATTATGTAATCATTCAGTTGATGTAGAAAAGAGCATTTGACAAAATCCAGCACTCATTCATAATAAAAATTCTCATAAAGTGGGGAAATTCCTCAACTTTAAACTAAAAAGTTTCTACAAGAAATCTACAAAAAAAAAAAAAAAAAACAAAACAGCTAACATCACACTTAATGGTGAAAGAGTGCTTTTTCCTAAGATGGGGAACAAGGCAAGGACGTCTACCCTCTCTACTGTTATTCAGTGTAGTACTAGAACTTCTAGCAAGTGCAATAAGGCAAGAAAAATAAATAAAAAGCATATAGATTGAAAGGAATAAACAAAACTGTCCCTACTCTCAGATGACATCATTGTCTACATAGAAAATCCTATGGAATAAAAAAAAAAAAAATCCTGAACTAATAAGTGAATTCAGCAAGGTTGCAGTATTTAAGATCAACACATAACACACATTAAAATCAATAGTATTTCTGTATACCAACAATGAACATGTTGAATTCAAAATTAAAATACAATGCCATTTATAATGCAGAGGAAATAAAGAAGACCGAAATAAATAGATATAGCATGTTCATGGATTGGAAGACTCCACACTATAAAGATGTCAGTTCTTTCAAAATGGATCCATAGGTTCAGTGCAATTCCTATCAAAAGCACAGCAAACATTTTTGTAGGCATAGACCGGCTTATTCTAAAATTTATATGGAAAGGCAAAGGACTTAGAATAACTAAATCCATTTTGAAAAAAAAGGTTAAGTGGGAGGAATCAGTGTACCAGATTCCAAGACTTGGCTACAGTAGCCAAGAATGTATGATATTGGCAGAGAAATAGACACATAGATGAATGGAACAGAATAGAGAACCTAGAAATAGAACCACACAATACCCTCAACTGATTTTTGACAAAGATACAAAAGCAACTCAATGGAGGAAGGATAGCCTTTCAACAAGTGGTGCTGGAATACTTAGATATATATTGGCAAAAAACCAAACCTCACACCTTCTACAAAAATCAACTCAAAATGGGTCACAGAGTTAAATGTAAAACATAAAGCTGCTAGAAAAAAAAGGGAAGAATCTTTGGGATCTAGGACTAGGCAAAGAGTTCATAGACTTAACAAATGTACAATCCAGAAAAGACAAAAATCGATCAATTGCACCTCATCAAAATAAAAATTTGTGCTCTTTTAAATAAAAATTTTTGCTCTCTTAAAACACTGTCAAGATGAAAAGACAATTGACAGTCTAGGAGAAAATATTTGCAAACCATATATCTGACAAAGAGGGACTTCCATCTAGAGTATATGAAGAAGTTGTAAAACTCAATAGTTAAAAAAAACCCAATCCAATAAAAAAT